AGGACCACACTTATTTCCCAATAGCAAGTTGTGACAGTCAGCTCTGTTGAGAACATACCTTGAGGAGACAGTACAGGGCTGGGGGGAAGGTAGCAAACTATGAGGAGATGGTCAGTCAAAGATGTTTCAGGATGAAGTGGGAACAGTAATATTTTGGTCTTCTTTATTTTTTTGTAATAGGCAGATTGTGGCAGAGGTGATATAAGAGAAAAGAAATAGAGATTATAAATATACAGCACTTGGAACAAATGGAAAGAATAGCTTAGATGTTATTGGTCTACAGAACACCATCTTTGGTATCCCACAGTACAGTGAAACTTGGTTAAGAAAGTGAAGAGAAAAAGAATGTGATTTGCAGTGTCATCTTTTAAAGCAGTCATGTGTGATAAAATTAGAATATGTAGAGTAGACAAGTAGATATAGCCCGTCTTTTCCCAAATCATTAATCAGAATTAATACAGTTCTATGACTCATTGATCCTTTTAAATAATGAAGTGCAAGAGGCAGATAATCAGTTCTGTAAGGGTCAGCATTTTGCTATTTCTTGTCAGATCCTTCCCAGTGAGATTGTCCACTCAAATTGCCGCATAACCAGAACCCCAAGTAGTTAAATTCTTTTACATAATTTTAAGACTTTGTAACCATTGGCCTCAAATTGTTTCTATAAATACAACTTCTCTGATTCAACAGTGGCTTGTAATTTGAGGGTGAGGAAAAAAAGGATCTAGTGTGTTTTTAAAAACTTCTAATGCCAACATATGTACATATAAAGGTTTGAATCTTTCCTGTCATTTATGGTCCTGGGTTAAATGTACCTTTATCCAGGTTTTTATGAACTTTTATGTTCATAAAACATAAACATGTTTATGTTTATGAACTTTTATGTTCTATGAAGGTGGGCATTCTGAAGAACCTTTGTATCATACTTTAGTAAGAGCAGATAACTGTTTTCTTTTCACCCAGGTTGGATCAGATGTTCTCAGATGCGTTTAGCAGAGATCATCAACTAATTCAAGCAGATCCAAAGCACAGCCTCTACCTGGCCTGTGCACTTCTTGTTCGAGGAAATGTGCAGGTTTCAGACCTCCGCAGAAATATTGAAAGGTTTGTAATACCACACAGAGCAGTCATGGGATTTGTATGGAAACTGACAGCTGTCCAGAGCATTCCAACTTTTCATTTGAACAGTTTCAATACCAAATCAGTTTACTCCAACCTCCTTTTCTTAATTTTAGAAGGGAAGAAAACATAATTAACTTACGTAATGAGTGAAAAAAGTCATGTTATTCCTGGATTTCCAAATAAAGGAATGTGCTACTCCTCTCTTTGTCCAAATTGCTAAAAAAAAAAAAAAAAAAAGCAAAGCACAGCCTTCCAGGGGTTTCTCAATAGCAAAGGATGTTGGAGTAATGAGTTCTGTAGTAGAAGTTTGTTTTTGCAGAACAGAAGCCCCTTCTCTTTCCATGGTTACTTTCATGTAGGTAGGAAATCATCTTTATTTGAACAATTCTGTGTTGTTAGCACCCATTTTCTACCTTGAACAGTATTGAGTTACTTATATGTAACAGGAAAGGCCTCCAAAATGGAATTTATAGGAAGACAGGGGTGCATGGGGAAAATTTCTGGGAATCTAAAGTATTTTGCTTATTTCAAAACTACAGGTAGACTGATTGCCCTCACACATTATTAATCTTCCCCTTTACTAACTCTCAGAGTGCTTCCAGTCCCTTTTATAGAAACAGGTACTTGTAACTTCACTTTTCAAATCCTGATGCATTAAATTAACAAAACACAATTGATGTTTGCAATTTAAATTTAACATAGAGACACAGTGGTCTGAAGTCTAAAATATCTTATTCACAGTGATAGTTATAACTGTCCTCCTTAATCCTGAGTGCTTACATGTTAACCTTTTCCGACTGTTAGTTGAAACTTAATAGTTAGCCTTTGTGTTCTTTCTTTTCCTTAGTTAACTAAATTTTTGTATCACAGATTGAAGCCTTCTCTGCACTTTGTCTCCTGGAATCAAGAGGGCTGGAAAACTGGTTTGTGCTCAGTACCTCCTGTGGGCCATTCCCATTCCCTTTTGGCTTTAGCAAACAACACCTGTATAAAACCAACTTTCATTGAACTCAAAGACAGATTTATGAAGCTCTACAAGAAAAAGGTGCAACTTTTATCCTTATAACATCCATAGTCACTAATCATTAGCATCTTGCATTATTGAAGCCCAGATCTTGGTGTCGTGAAGGGACTGTTAATGATTGACAGCCCAGGGGTTTTATTTGTGTGACCAGATGACCCAAAGCCCCATCCAACCTGGCCAAGAACACTTGCAGGGCTGGAGCATCCATAGGTTCTCTGGGCAACCTGTTACAGTACACAGTAAAGAATTTCTTACTAATATCTAATCTAAACCCTGGAGTCCATCAAGCTTCCTCTCACTTCGCTTCTTCAGCAAGACAGGAGAAAAGTACAGTAAAAAACTTTTGGGTCAAGATAAAGACAGGGAGAACAACCACCAATTTTTGCCATAGGCTAAACAGATTTGGCATTTGGAAAATTAATTTCATTTATTGCCAATAATAGTAGAGTAGGACAGCAAGAAATAAAAACAAAGCTGAAAGCCCCTTCACCCCCACTCCACTGCCTTCTTCCCAGCCTCAGAATTCCACTTCTGTTCCTTCTTCTCTGATCTTAGTGTCTGCAGGGCTGTTTCTCTCACATTTTCTTGAGTCTTCTCTGTCACAGCTGTTGTGCAGCATTTTTACCCCTTGATAAATTCCTTGTCACAGAGGCATTAGCAGCATCACTAATGGGCTGAGCTGTGGTCACTGGCAGGTCCATACTGGAACTGGCTGGGATGGTTTGTTCAGCATGGGTGCAGCTGCTGTTATCTTCTCACACCCCTGCAGCCCCACGCTCTGCCTGCTGCCAAAACCCTGCCATGTAAACCCAATCCACAGCTGGTCAGGTGTACCCAAGAACACAATATGAAAAGATGGGGTTTTCAGAAGTCAGTAATATTGACTGTGATTCACTAGGAGATTGTTGCCAAACTTGCCAAGTGTTTAAACAAGGGATGTCTTGATACAAGTCTCTTAAGTGCTGTTTCAACAATGCTTGTTCTTCCCCTTTCAGTACAGGATAACTGGTATTTACTGAGCCAAAGCAATCAAATACCAAGAAAAGGATAACACTGGTTTGTTTTTGGTTTTTTTTGTTCTCTTAGGCTCACCTTCACCATTATCTGCAAATAGATGGGATGGAGCAAAGCTGTTTTTCAGAAGCTATATCCTCTTTGTCTGACCTAATAGAAGAGTACAGTGAATTGGATGCTACAAAAGGTGGGCCTAGAATAGATCCTTCAAGATTGAAGATAGCCGTTTAAAGGAAGAACTGATTTTGAAAACAACAACAAAAAAGCACTTTCCCTAAACATCCAGCCACTTCAGTTAACCAGAATGACTTGCAGCATGCCTGGCTATTGTAATTCCAAAGTGGGACCAGCACAACAGCTTCCTTACCTCAAGTGCTGTCATTAAGTGGTGAGCCATGCCTGTGAGAAAGATTTGAAGGCACCTAATTATGGCTGGTATCGGTAAGGACAGTAATCCTGACACACCATATGCTGTGAAGAAAAGGAGGAGAGATTTTATGTAGCAGCCAAAACTGTAATTATTTTCTCAGACTTTCAACTTACAGTAAACGAAATGTTGGTCTTCCTTCAAAGAAGGATCACCGTTGCTAGATTTAGTTTTTAACAAGCAACTACGAAGAGAAGAAAAGCCCATGTAGTCTTTTCAAAGATGAAAGCAAGTCTCTAATGAAACTGCTTTCTTAGACTTTGCAGTTGACATTTCAGAATGCTCTAAGCTATGTTCCTCATTTTAGTATTTGTGCTCCTATCTTGTACTTAACTATATTAGAGGGTTCTCAGTTAATACCAAAAATGACAATAACAGAAAATGCAAAAACATAAATTTGGTTTCAAGTATTATGCTTGGAATGTTAATTAATATTTAAATTATTCATATTCATGAATGCTGAGTTGCACTTGATAATGAGATAATACAGAATATCTCTGAGTGGAACATGCACTTAGGATGAAGTTATAATGACCATTTGGAGAAAAACACTTATAGCCTTGAAAGAATGCAAGTAAAATAGATGTTTTAATATTTATAATTATCAGGGTATCAAGCAGCTTTTTATATTACAGTAAGAATTTTTCAAAATAGAATATACAGCTATTTCTAGTTGCTTGCCAGTGAACTGTTAGAGACCAGAATGGATTGATGCAATGATTTCTTGAAATTTGAAGTCCTTCTAGCACAGTTGGAGTGGATATGTAAGTAAGCACAATTTTGACTGTATAAGACCAGAAGTATTCAATAAAGTATTGTTATAACATTTGTTGAGAGCATTTTTAAAAATAGAAATTTCTAAATATAGAAATTTTCTGAAGTCTTGCATCTATTATCTGCAGTTGCCCACTTATTTGTTTCTTTGCACATTCGGTCTTTATATCCATAACACTAGACAAAGACTATCTGTTGCAAAAAGCAGTCTGAGTCTAAAGTTGATGACATCTGTTTCAATGTTTCAGCATTGCTGTGTTTTACTATTTCACATGTGTAGCAGAAAATGTTAATTTAAAAATGAAGAATGATAGATGAAGTATTACAGGGCAATTTTTTTCCTAAGAGGTTGGAGCATCTATTTGTATTTGTCAGCAAAAGCTTGTTACAGTGGGGTATGAAGCTCTCTTGCTGCATCTTTCACAGTCACCAAGAGTTCTTGTTTGAGCGCTGCTGGTATTAGATACATTTCTGAGAAGGATGTATCTCTCCATGTAAAACCAGTTACATTTAAAAAGATGCCCTCTGGCGTTTTACAGGTGCTGTTTAATAAATGAATGAATATTCACATGTGTAGTTTCATTATAAACACTGCTGTGGCAGGGGGTTATGCTGACTCTTCAGGGTGTGAATGTGCTGTTGCACTCCATGTGTTACAGTCAATGGTGTAATTTGTCATAGCAGTTTGAGTTGGGAAAATATATCTCCTGGAGCACTGCAAATCCTCTGGCACACACACGATGTTATCCACATCATCTTCCACCTGAAGGAGCCTTCGTTGGGACACTCAAACTGTACAGTGATCATTTTGGACTTGTTAGGAATGCAACACCTCTTGTCCAAGCACACTCCACAGAAAGTTAGTTTGTATCTTTGAGTAGTTGAGCATCCGGAAAAAACTAGCTTCTCTGCTGTTGGAAGCTGAAAAGTTGGTTGACATGTTTTTCCCTTTGGAATCTTTAATATTAAAACAAAGAAAACCCTGAACATTAATAGCAGATCATGTAAGAAAAACTTGCAACATTTACTTAATTATAAATATCTTGAAAGTTACTGAATCTGAAAGCTGCCTGGTTTTTCCTTTGTCAGTAAACCAACAGGAGGTACTTTCAGAGTGACTGTGCATCCGGACAGCATTAGCAGCACTTATATTTCAGGACATTACATTCTTTTGTTTGAAATTGCACATCTGTAGTATGCTATTGAAACATGAACATTAATGGTAGAAAACATAGATTTATTTTAAAACCCATAAAAAAGAAATAAGTAAATGTTTTATTAGTACTTGCTAATACATCCATTTTTCCATTAGTTCCAATATTCTAATTTCCTATTAGGAGCTAATTTTATGCTAGAAAATACCTTTATTTTCTTCAGCATCTTGGTCAGACAAGGCTGGATGAAGCATAATCTCTTTTCTTTTTTCATTTCACATTTTCTGTTGTCGTTGGTCACTCTGCTGGATATGCCTATGCCACAGGTACTGGAACAGGGTGTCCAGGGAGTTGCCTGTATGAGGCACTTCTTCTTCAAAACTAGTGGTAAGCTTCTGTAAGCTAAGACAGCAATATTTTATTTATGCAGCCCCAAAAGGATGAATTGAAAATACAAGAATAAGAATTTGATTTCTGTTCATGAAGGTACTTCTGTAGGTAAACCTAAAAATGAGACATAAATAACATATATAGAAAATTCAGCTGAGCTGCAGTTAAACTTTGCTGATACTGGATACTCAGATCCTACCAAGGACTTTGAAATTGCATGTATTGTGTGACCTTCCAGTTTCATGTGATGGAAATGTTGTGAGAAAAGACTTAATTGTGGAATTTTTATGAAATGTCCAGATTTTCTTTTATTTTAGGCCAAGCATCGTTTCTAAAGGGTGCTGAGAACATTAATATTTGTGTCTTTGTAGATATTGATAAGAATTTAGGTTTTGTATTGAAAAATAAAATTATCCAATCACTTTTAGATACCACTAAAAAGTCTGAGGACTGGATTGGGTGGAGTATACTTTAAAAATGAAACAAAATTGCTGTGGAAAAGTTCTACTAAAAAACTATATGGAATCTATGCATTTATGTACCTGTGCTTTTATGTAAGAGCACATGCAGAATTTACCTGGAATTACCAGAACTGCTGTCTACTTGGAAAGCAGACAGCAATTTAAAGATCTCATTGAAGCAAGCATTTTAAAAGCCTGTCACAGATCTGCAACAAATAAAAGGAAGTTAAATGGTCGTTTATACTTGGTGCATTTTTTGAAGTATGACCTAGTTACATCTCTGTGTATCTGAATTAGGTAAATCAAATTGAAATGGAAAGCCAGAAAACAAAGCAGGAGGAGTAAAATGAAACTTAGTACTTACTACCCACTCTAGCAGAAAAGGGACTTTTCAAAATACATATTTTCCCATTGAGCTGTCCATGAATTCCATGGACAAGTTGACAAGATACTTCTGCTGGACTGGGAGGGGGAGGACTTTACTTGGAAAAAAAATTTCCAGGTGTTTTTCTTCAGAAGATTCCCAAAGGGCAGCATCCTACAGCATGTACAGCCACCACAGGGACAGGGTGTTGGGTCCCTGTACGGAGCCCAATAAAGTGTGCTTTGCCAGCTGGGTTCTGGCTCTCAAGGCTATGTTCTGCAGCTGATTCAAATTCCAGAATAAATGATGATGTGTTACAGTCAGTGAAAGAGTTACTGAAGGTTGGACTTTAGCTTTTGGGTCTGCTGAAGGATACAAAGTGAATGGCTTGATGATGTTCTCCAGGTATCTGAAATATGGTTTGGGGTGAGATGTATTTCAGAGGCTCGCATGGTTTGGTTGCTGTTGTTTGCAATGCATTATGGTCTCTCTTCAATCAGATTAGCACTGTTCTCTAGAAATTAAATCTCTCCTCACTTGAAGTCAGTTGCTTTACCAAATACGTATTTATACAACAGCATTAAGTTTATTTTTGTTAAAAGGCTTTGATACAAGATACAGGTATTGTATCATAATTTGAAGTAGGATGAACTTTTTTTATTTTGGCTTACTTGTGTGACCACTGCGTACATGTGAGAAGCTGTCAAACTGGACTTCAGGTTTTGTAAGCAGGTCTGTTTACCTGCAGATTGATTGACATGCATCTACTCAGCAGCCTTTGATAAAGCTTTTCTGATAAGCATTACAATCCTTTTATTTTATTGGTCCATGATGGTGATTCAGTCTGCCACCAAATAAATGGCTCTGCTTTCTGGTACCTTCATTAGCTGTAACAAAGATGACTTTCACCATGGAAAGTTGCACATGCATAGGGAAGGAGATGGCACAAGCATAGCAGCTGTGGCCAGGGAAGGGCTGGCATAGCTGCTTCCTTAGAATGCAAAAGAGGACTAGTGTTAGGAGCAGAGCAAGAATGGAGTTAGAAGGAATATCCACTGACCCTGGCAGAGTTGCATGGGCAAGTCAATGAATGCTTTTGATCAGACTCAATGAAGAAATGGGGGGAGTATTGTTCTTGCAGTGACCAAAATTTGTGAATGCGGGAAAGCCACTAAGGCAATTTTCATAATTTTCTGCTTTCTACTAAAAGAAGAGACCTGTGTCATGTTAATACATGTATGTGAAAACCAAGACTGGCTAACACCACAAAGCAGGAAAAAGTGGGGCAGTTCCCAGGCTGCAAAATGGCTGTCCAGCAGCATGCCTAATTGGGCTGATCCGATGAGCAGCAAACCTCTGCAGAAAGATGCTTTGGCCAATTCCCTCATGACAGAAGCCAAAAGCCTTTTTGCTTTTCCCATTTATTAGGTTTAGAGAAATGAGTCTGTGACCTGAGAGTAAGAAGGGTAAGTGGGACACAACAGTCACCCTGGCAAAGGCCTTGAGCAAGAACTGGGCAAGTGCCAGTGTGCTGCCTGCCTGGCTGCTGGAGCCAGGGACACAATGCAGAAAGGCTCATGTACCGAAAGGATTACCAGTGCAATCAGGCTCACCTGACATCAGTCTGTAGTTGCTTGATTGAAGTTGCTTGTGCTGTCCCAGGCCACAGATGGGTTGTCCTGGCTTCTTTCTGCCTGGGACCCTGGAACAGGGGCTTCCTGCTACTCTTGGTGTGAATACAGGGGTACATCCAATTGTACCACTGACACACAGGCACTTATAAAGCCGGTTGGGCTGAAAGGTCTGCCCGTTGGCGTAATAAACTCCATTGAGCTCACATCCTACAGCTACCAGATCTGAAAATGGTGAACAACAGTTACTAAAACAGGAGGAGCACAAGGTTCTTGCTAAACAGGATGCTAAAATGTGCTCAGTGTTTATGGCATCCGCAGCTTTGTAAATCAGACATCAGCATGTCTGCCAATAACAAGCTTGTGCACAATGAACTGGTTTCACTAATGTAGTTTACAGTCCCAGCACTATTCTCAGATTCTCTGACTGAGCAGTTGGAGGATAAATTAGGATAAATTCTTTAGCTGTGCAGCACCTGCAAGCAGAGTTTTCCTCCAAAACCATTCACCTGGTGGTCCCCACCCTCTTGGATTTCAAGAAGGGAACGTCAAAGAGCAACTTACATGCACACACGCCTGTTTCATACCTAGGCTCATCTTCCGAGTAGTCGCAGTAGAGCCCTTTGTGGGGATCACAGACGTCTGCTTCATTGCAGGGCTCTCCTGCCTGCTTGGCACAGACCTTGCAGCAGCCACAGCCATCCTTCACCAGGCTGACCCCAGGGGTGCAGGCTGGCACCGGCGGGCATCGGCATGGCCAGCGGCAAACCTCCTTGCGCTGCACTTCACCAGTTTCTGAAGGTTTATCTCCAGGCTGCTCTGGTGGGCTGTGGGAAAACTTACACAGAGTGGGCTGTTTTGAGCACTGAATGCAGTATGCGTAGTTGGAATAGCATAACATGAAGTCAAGATGGAAAAAACTGACAAGTTGCATGAAAATCCGCAATGTTTCTCATTTCACAAGATAAAAAAGTGAGAGAAGCTATGAGGTTTAGGTAGAAGGCAGAAGACCATTTTCATCAGTGTCATACACTAAGATGTTCCACCAGTGAGCCTGGCTTACTGCTTGTACAAAACACAATTCACTGGTCTTTCCTTTGCCTTCTATGGAACAAAACTGAACAGAATTTTTTTGATAAGTATTTTAAAGTAGATGGTGGTTTTACTGTAAGTATTTCTTCCTGGAAACCTTCTATAAAATTAATAAGCTTTTGATTCCTCACATTGTTTTATAGCCAGCCACAGTCCTGTGTGCCAGTTCTGATGGCAAGACCCTTTTAAAATACAGAACCTCTTTTGAATGTTACTTTTGCTCCAAAATTTGAGTAGATGCTTGGGAAGGAGCATTATTTACAAATGCTCTTGTGCTAGATGCAAAAAATTAATCCTAGTAAGGGAGGCAAGTAGCTGTACTGAGTTTAATAGGTCACTTTCTAAGAGTGCATTTATTTGCATGACTAAGCCTTCATTGAATCCAGAACTTACGGAGCAAAACCACATCTCATTAAAGAGATTTGTATCAGCAGCAGGAAGTCAAGATCTAGCCAGAATTTACTGGTTTTCACATTCTGTCTCAGAATTAATGTATTTTTCTTTTCTTTTTCTTTTTTTTTCTCTTTTTTTAAGTAAAAGAAGGACGAACTTATTCTTGATGGGCTTATTTTTGTGAGGCATGGGGGCAGATTAAGTTAGCACAGTGTAAAAGGATCTATTTGAGATAGCTAGAGTCTATCTGCCTTTTTTAAGAACTAAAACTAAAACTTAGCAGTTTAGATCTTAGCATTAAATCTTTTCATGCTGCTGATTTCAGCAGAAATGCAGATCGAGGTGTAGTTATTCTCTGTTCTCCATGGATGACTGGTTCTGTAGTTAAGTGGGGGCATGCACAGCACTTGGCCACTATACATCACAGGGCCTGGAAGCCACTCTCATCACACAGCTCCAACTGCCCAAAGAGCAAAAGGGAAAGATGACCAAGCCCTTCATCAGGTGCCAGTATCACCATTAAAGTTGCAAAAAAAAAAAAACCAACCCAGATCATATATCCTATATTTTTTTTCTGGGCATGTGAAGCCTATCAGTTTCTGTCAGTTCTCCCAAAGTTGCAAAAAAGAAACAACCCAGATCATATATCCTATATTTTTTTTCTGGGCATGTGAAGCCTATCAGTTTCTGTCAGTTCCTCCAAACTGCAGGGATCTGCTGGTGTAGAAATCACCAAATCACCTCCAGCAGAGATGCTGAGGGGAAAGGGTCACTCAGATGGGGTTCCTTGATGCTTTATTTTCAAAGTGGAAGTATCTGCAGAATTCAGCATTTCATATGTCATAGCCCAGGAAAGCTGTTGCAGCATAATTGAGCTCGCTTAATTGCATGCAGTAGTAAATGACCTTTTAAAAGCCTTTTTTCTACCCCTAATTTCCATTTTTCATGGTCATTTACAACTATACTTATGATATCTTAATCTGCAGCTACTAATGAAGCTCCAAAGCAGTAGCTTTCAAGTTCCTTTGGCTGAATGATTTTTAAGCCAGATACTAATTTGCATAAGCAATTCATATAGCAAATGGATGTTAAACAATGTCATAGGGTATTCCATGCAGTATGAAGAAGATAGTTTCATAAAGGTGTCATTTGTTAAAGGATTTCTTCTAATCCTTTTTACCTTAACTTTTAACTTAAGCAATAATACAGAAACAATTAACTCAAGTATATTTTTTTAAAGCTAATCCTTTCCTATAAACCATAATGTTAATTTGATGAATATGTGCATTGGAATATAAAGGTTCTTAAAGAACTGTTCTGGAAACAAGACAGGCAAGTGGCCCTGTATGTTTAGCAGTGTTTAAGAAAATACAGTTGCTTTAGGAAACAGTTCCTTGCTGCTTCTTTCTTTAGAAGCAGAATATTATTATTATTATTATTATCAGCATCATCAGGAATTTGGCCATATGCCAGCAACGTGAGGTTATGTGGCTTGAATCAGATATCATAGTTCAAAATGGCTATGTGTAGCAGGAAGTAATCTTATGTGCTTCAACCAATATGTTTAATTTGTATTACAAATTGAAACATGCTTTAAACCTACAGACTTCTACTTAGGGGAGTTTTCTCTCCTTTTTTTAGGGAAAGATGGATGTCTGCTGAGAGATGGGAGATGAAAAAGTTCTTAAAAAGTAAGAAAGACGCCATCAGGTGAATATCTGACAGTTTTAACTCTGCAATTACTGAGAACTACAGCTTACATGAAAAATCTTCACATATCTATTAAGTTAGAATGAAAATTTAAAGTTTGCTTGTACAGTTTACAGGTCAAATATTTTTCTAATTTGTGCTTCCTCAGTTTCTATACCAAAGCTATTCACATCACACTAGCCCCTTACATACTTTTCCTGATCCTATGGGCAGATCAGAAAATGAGACCATTGTGTAAGAACCCTTCATGTGTTGTTTGTTTTCCCATGTTTTAAAGATTGAACAAGGTCAATACAGCATAAATAAGCAAATAGCAAAATAAGTAATGTATTATCACTAATGTTTGGTTATCTTAGTCTGGCTTTAAATAGGCAGAAAGGGGAGGGACACCGCCATTTGAAAATTCTGTTGACATTCATCTTAATTGTAAAGGAAAAAATACACTGTATACACATAAAGTGGATTTTCAAAATTAGGTAAATAGGTAATGAAATTGGCTTTTGATACAAATACCTTTAGAGAAAGCTATCACTTAAAACTGTCTCATAAGAGACAAAGTATAACACAGCCCAGGTGCCTATCTTGTTTGTAAAACTAGCCTGAAGTCAGACGGCTGCATGTGTATATATATATATTTGCAAACACATGTATATATGGAATATGAGCATGGAAAAGATGTTTACTTTCTTACTGCATCAGATAGTAATTTTTGCTTATAATAAAAAAAAAACTAAAGAAAGGGGGGGAAAAGCAAAGTCAGTGACAATTTAAGCTTCCCTAACACTTTTTTCTTCCCACCAAGTAATATTAATGTACAGAGAGAAAAAAATTACCAAAACATGACTGATGCAGTAAATAAGCTGCAAGTGAAATTTACTCAGGAGTAGGGAATGGCTCCTTATTCTTTATGAGGAATTTACTTCTCTGAAATTTAATTGGTCATAAAGCAAATAAAAACTTCTAACCAGGACAAGGTGAGCAAGGGGAAAATCTTTTTCTTCTTTTTAATGAACTTACCTGTTGAGTATAAGGGATGATGAAGATGGTGGGAACCAGGAGCCACCGCATGTTCCTGCACATTCAGAAGTGAAACTGGGAGATAGGGAACAGGCTGAGCTGTGTCAGAGGAAGCACTGAACACAAAGCTCTCCTCTGTCTCCCTTGCCAACCCAACTTTCCCCAGCACATGCACGAACACATACACGCATTCACACTTGAAATTCTCCTCTTCATACTGAACCAGCCTCACACTGAAGTTTTCAACTGGTCTTCTTTTCTCTGCCCACTGCTAGAATACAGATTTTCACACCCTGCTTGATCCCATCCAGCTGATTCAGCCAGACTTAATTGAGGTCAGGTAGGGTGACATCTGATTCTTAAAGTCTTGCTGCTGGAAATGCAGTGTTATTTTTAACTTGTCTTTAAATCTATATTGCAGGAATTTCTGAAATCTGAAGGGCAGAGCCCCAAATACATGTAGTTTTTGAGATGGAGAAAGAAGAGTTCTTCAAAATTTCTGATGTATTGTGCCTAGCAAACCATTGCATAAAAATTCAGTCAGTACATGCTCTCTAAAAGAGGGAAGGAGATGCTATAAAGTGTTAAAATGCTGCTGCATATTCAGCACTGTTTCTTTCCATGGAATCCTAATGGGGACGCCCAAACTCTAATGTACTTTTCCCTGAAGTATGCACCTTGTCATATTGCTGTGTCACAGCATTTAAGGACAAGATTGTTCAAATCTCCAAATTCCCTTCCCCTTAATAGTATCAAGGTGGTGTGTTTGATGTTTAGGCTAACAAGTGAGGGTAAGATAAAAGCTCCAGCCTTGCAGCAGTGGTGTTGGTAGTGCCCTGATAAATATTTTTCTTTCACATTTGTCCTTGCTCAGGCATCTCCTGAAGCCCAAGAGTTACTAGGGGAGTCTGCCAAAGACCACACTGACACAGCAGCCATGCGTGGACAGAGGCAGTAGTGGGAGTAGGGAGTCAAATCCAGTGCAAGCACTTCTGTTTGGCTCCTGGACTTGGAGCTCCACATGCTCTCTATGGTTACAAATGCACCCTGAACTGCTCCTCCAAACTCTTGAGCACTTAGCTGTAAAACACCGAAAAACTGCTTTTCTTTAGCACAATCACTTTGTCACATAACTCAAGATGAAGGCCAGGCAGTACCTGGGTGACAAGTGCATGCAGCAGATCAGTTCATTTCACCATGTTACTCTGGTGTGTGGCAGTGCAGACTGAAGCTTGTGTTTCCCCTTGAAAGCTTATGAACATAGCACAGAGGTTTCTCTAAAGTCTCTTCTGTATCCTATCAAAACATAACTTCTTTCATAGAACCAGAAGGTGGTTGATGCTGGAAGAGGGCCCAGGGGGTCTCTAGTCCAAGCCCAGCTCAAGCAGGGCTCCTTCTGAGATCAGACTGCATTTACTCATGGCTCTGTCTATTTGGACCTGGAAAACCTCCAAGGGTGGAGGCTGCTAAACCTCTCCTGGCAGCCTTTCAGAGGGATAATAACGAGCAATGCCGGCTGTCTGAGGACATTCCAGGTTCAGTTTTCTCTTGCAGCCCCAAAGACACCCCTTTCATTCTCCAGCCTGTAAGAAGTGAGGAAGGCCAGAGGACTAGCACATCCATTCTTCTTCTTCTAGTACTGCAAGGGGAGCACACAGCATGCATTTGAAACGTGTCTTTTCTCTTTGCATTGCAGAGATAAAGAATGTTACCAGTGCAGGACTGGGAATGCTCTGTGTGAGCTGGCAAAGACTGGTCTGATTTTAATAATGGTCCCCAGTCTTGGGAAATAAGAGAGAGATATTTCTTCAGGATTACCCATTGGTTTTATGTGGTGTATTTTGCTGGAATCACCTAGAGAACACGTTATCTGAACTTTAGAGGGTGAGACTTCGAAACTGTGGTTAGAGTATAATTAAGATGATTGATAGAAAATGTTGGGTTTGGAAGGAGTGGGAGGAATGCTCCTCCCGGAGGAAGACATTCTGGTGATATAACACATTAAAATGTAATTTTAGGTGGCTAGATGAATGCTCACATGTGTGCAGATCAATCAGCATACCTCTTCAGCCTGAGAAGGGCCTGCTGCTAGGAGCACCTGCTATAGTAGGACTCAGCTTTCCAAAACAACAATGTGCCTTCACTGCCTTTCCCTAACAAATGCACTTAAGTGAGGCTGGACCCTGCAGTACCTGCAGCATTGATCCCTGCATTTATAAGTAGCCATAAGACCACAAAGACAGCAGCACTAACTCCTATGCATAAATAGTGCACCAGGGCTTTGACTACTGAGTATTGCAGTCTGTCTCTGCCAGTATTTGCTCTGATTTCAATAAATGGAGGCAATCTGCCCTTTTCCTCTCCTGCAGGTTTTTAGTCATCCCCCACAACTTAAGAACTAATGTTTTTAATGCCATTTCCAGACTCAGCAATAGTTTGTCTGTATGCATCCTCCTTGCCAAATCTCCCTTACAGATTTGATTACATAAAGCATCATTCATTTCCTGAACTAAACCTGCTCTGCTATCTGGTGCCATTCTAATACCACCCCGAACGGAAATGTAATTTAGTTGTATATTCAGTGACCTCTACATACTGCACACATCTCTTTGGTGGAAAAAAAATCATCTTCCTGTCTGTGAAATATGCCATGTAAATCCACTGTCTTAAGAGATGGAAAAGTATGAGTTATAAACCCATAAATTGATATAACCATGCATTCTAACTGGATACAAGGTCTTAGACAAAGTGCCAGAGGTATTCATTATTGATACTTGTTGTGGGCCAGGATTTTCAATACTCCCTACTGGGCTTTGTGGAGTTACTGCAAGAAAATCCATCAAAGCCAGGGTTGGGTTTGGTCATTCCTAATAACTGGGTTTTAGTTCCAGACCCACACCAGAGCTGGGGGTTCACCTTCTGGCAGGAAGATTTTTTCACGTTGTCCTGTTTCATTGTTCTTCGGGCATGGATGTTGCAAAGAGAGTCCTCTGTTTCAGTCAAACCTACGGTTTGTGTCTCTTCATTCAAACAAATAAACAGATGGGTAAAAAGGAATAGGAACATTATATGACAACATATTGCCCTTGGCTCACCCTGTCTCACATGCTGTTTGCTGACTTGAAGGAAACTGCCTTCTTCAAAACAGCAGTGCTCCAGAAACACTGATGGATTTTGCTAGGAGTTCTGCTTGCTATTGCTGGCAACTTGGGCACACCGAGGCACAGACATGTCCCTGCTGGGAGTGGCAGGTTTGTTGCCAGGCAGCGTGGCATGCACCAGCTCCTGGAATTAGCCGTGCTCAAAGGTATGGTGAAGTTCCCAGCTGGAAGCCTGAACCCAGGAGCTGTGATGGTCCTTGCAGAGCAATCACCCGCCCACCACCAATGAATCATTGTGAGGTTCCTCTCTTCTCTGCTGGCCAGCTGCTCAGCTTTTGTAAATTTGGGCCATTTTTATTTCTCTTCAAATTGAGTTTCAGACAAACTCAATTTTGAGTTTTGAGTGCAACTTTTGAGTTGCACTCAACAGCGTTCCATACCTCTCCTCCAGGAGCACCACCAACAACAGCACATTCTCAACAAGCTGACTAAGGAACCTCTCCCAGGATGATGGGAGTATTTCCAATGAGACAAACATTCATCTTGTCCTGCATACTCACTTCAGCAATAGCATGTGCTGCACCGAGGCCTCTGTTGGAGGGTAGAAATGCTTTGTGCAAGGGCAGCTATACCATGTTCCCCACAGTGTGCCACTGTTTCTGTTTCAGCTGTTCTCTGCTTCCAAACTAATTCATAAAGTTTCTCTGAGCTATAACAGGCAAACTGATATCTGATGATACTTACATGCATATTTAAGACTAGGTACCATTTTCAAAACTGATCTATGCAGGTAGTTGTCTGTATCCTATTTTCTTCTAACACGCCTTAAAAGCAGGAAAGATGCCATAAAGTGCTTGTATTCCAAAGCACACATCTCTGAAATATGAAACTAGGAATTCTCAGAATTTTAAAGTTGAATATTTGTCATCAAAGACAGCCTAAGTTTCCATGTTTCTGGTTAACAGATCATTAAAAAATATCTGTACACACTGAACAGGATCAGTCTGTGCTCTGCCTAGCTCTGTGGGGCAGGCTCTGTGCAATCAATCCGGAAAGGCACGGGCTGCAAAAAGCAAGCCAAAGTGAAGGAATAAAAATGAAGACAAATTGGGGGCCCACCGAGCAAGGCAAAGAAGCTGAACTGCAGCGAGCTAACCTATTACACGCTGGAATTGGCTGATTCTGCACACAGCACACAGTGCGGCGCCTCTGCTGCTTTCAGTTTGATGCTGAATTCACTGTGACAGAATAAACTCAGATCAGCGCAAACTGCATTTGCAAATCAGCTTTTCTCCTCATAGCCCAGCTCTGTGGACACCCCAGTGCTGGCAGCTCTGGCCTCCCCTACCTTTCTCCCCTGCAGCTGGCAGCTTTGCAGAGCAGGCAGACAGCTGCTCCTCAGGGAGAAGCGCCGTCAGGATAAATATTTGAGCAGGGCAGCTAATCCTGCATGTCAGGAGACATGTGAATGTCCACTGAGGCTTGTACAGTTCTCAAAGGTTTTCCATTGTTAGTTATAGGAGGAAATAGTAAAGCAGCTTCCCAAACTTCTCAACTATTTACACATGTAGTTGTGTGCCAACTAAAAAACATTCCTGATGGAAATGAAAATAAGGTCCTAGTCAATGTCCTACCCAAACCTTCCTTGAGGGTAAGGCATGGGAGAGACACAAAAAAAGAGTTGTATTTTTTCCCAAGCCACCAGTTGGGGATTTTTTTTTTAATTTTATTCTCAGTACATACTTTATTAACCTTAAAAAAAAAAAATCCCTCATAAATACTGGTGGAGTCACATTGCTATCTCCGGATTTATTTTGGCACTGAAACACAAACTCATCTCTTTGGTCTACAGGAAAAGTATATGTTGCTCTCTACAGACCCAGAAACACACATAAATTGTAGGGCACTGGCCAGATCTGGTGCCCATTTTTCACGCCAAGTGTCTCAGGA